ATGCAAATCAAATGTGTAGAATGATGTAAATACTATCTTTCTTTATGTACAATTGAACCTGTCTATCTCGAATCTCACTGGAATGAGAAAAAAATTTGATGATAGAAGTTCCTAAACAGTAAACAGTAATATGTTAATAGGTCTGATTGAATGTATGGTATTTTATTAATACAATAGTATATAATAAAATAAAATATGCCATTTTCTTCCTATAATGTAAAGTGAAATAAGAAATTTTATGTCTTATAAGAAATAATATCATTTGACTTTTGAAATTTTTCAATTCTAAATCTGATAATGTAAAATAAAGTGACCATATTAATAAGATTAAGCAAACTCAAAACTGATAATTTTTAAATGAATAAAAAATATTATTTAAATATTGGTAAAAAGGATTTATTGAATTGTATAAGTTTGTCTGAGGTTTTGGATAATAAGTTTATGATGAAAAATAATTATCTTCTTGATTTAGCAACTGGTTGATTTTGTATATAAATAATATTTCACTATCTACAATTTAGCCTATTTTCACAGATCAGTTATTATATATATTAAGATAATGTTCATTAAATGTAGACTACATCAAATCTGAATAAACTTATTACAAAATCTAATCATTGATTTTGCTGTTGTCATTGTTAGTTGATGATAGATATACTTTGTTCATGTAGATAAGAGACAACAATTAATTTTATATAAAATGTTATTTTATATGTATGAAACTTATTTTATAGTTCTTTTTGATCAAGTCTAGTGGGAAAATATTTTTGCTAGTGGAAGTAAATTTCAGTTTAGCATAGCAAAACTAGAATCATATCAGATTGTGAACAACTTATCAATAAAAAGGAATCAGTTTTACTAGAATAATACTTTAACTGTAAGACATCCAAATATTTTTGCTTCATCCTTTCCCAACCATCTTCAAGCCTATACAAATAGAATAGTATAGAACTCATTGGAATAAATTTGAATACAAAATGTTTTTGATGAATCTAATGAACTTAGTATAATTCCAGTTTGCAATGTAACTAATAATCACTAAAAATAAAAATTATCTTCAGTTAAAACCAAGTAAAAAAAAATATACTCTATCTACTTCCAACTTTGGATTTTACAGGTCAACAAAAGCAAACAAGTGACAAGAAATAAATTAGATTTTCATATTACCAGTGACTTTATCATATAATTAACAAACTCCAAATGCATTTCGCCTCTTCAATAGGCCTCTTCAGTGGATACACATTAAGACAGCAATCTTTAGCCACGTTTTTATATCCAGTAACCCTTCCCAGCATGCATCAACACTCATCCCGGTATTTAAATTAAGTACATTTGTATACGTGGTAATGCAAAAATGTTCGACAATTTTCCTTTCTAAACAATCAGCATTATAAATTGTGAAGATATAAATTCGGCCAGGGATAAATTCAAGACTGCCAGTGTTGTATACAGAATGTCATGTACATGTCGAAATCCAAATTATTATATCGGAGAAACCGGAAGAAGATTAGAGTTGAGAATAAAGGAACATGAGGTGGCCATCAGATTGAGGAGAATGAAATCGGCATGGTTTTTACATTGTAGAGAATTTGATTGTAATATAAATAGAAAAAATACTAAAATATTATATAAAATAGAGAATTGTTTAGAAAGGAAAATTGTCAAACATTTTTGCATCACCACGTATACAAATGTACTTAATTTAAATACCAGGATGAGTGTTGATACATGCTGGGAAGGGTTACTGATATAAAAACGTGGCTAAAGATTGCTGTCTTGATGTGTATCCACTGAAGAGGTCTATTGAAGAGGCGAAATGCATTTGGAGTTTGTTAATTATACAATAAAGTCACTGGTAATATGAAAATATAATTTATTTCTTGTCACTTGTTTGCCTTTGTTGACCTGTAAAATCCTCGAAGTTGGAAGTAGATAGAGTATATTTTTTTACTTGGTTTTAACTATTGAATTTATAAATGTAAGTAATATTTAATAACTATTTAATGGCAATAAAGTATACAAATTGCCATTGCAATTCTTTACAATACAGTAGAATCTCACTAAACCTGCAATTCACTTTTCTTGCTTTTCTACTAATCCAACATCAAGTTGGGTTAGGATGCAGGGATCATCATGAGACATTTTTATTCATGTTATGGAATGGAATCCCTGCCAAAGAAGCCATGCTTTTACAAAGATTACAAGAGAAAGTATTTAAGGCTAGGATGGTTGCAAAGAGACACACATATTGGAAACTATTTTTCACTAACTTTTTTGATACAAAATACAGTGAAAACTGCTTAGGCGACCACCTGCATTGGACGGGCACCTGTCAAAACGGGCAAAAATTTCTGGCACGGAATAGCTTATCCATAGAGTCTTCGTATAAGTTACCTGTATTAAACGACCACCTGTGTAACGCGACCGCGGGCATCGATTTTTGGTCCGAAACAACATACAACACCTGTAATAAGCGACCACTTTCGCGAATGTATCTGGTCTAAACTATTGTAAGAACCCATCTCAACAACGTTTCCACCTCCTAATATAATGAATTAGTCTAAACTCTCGTTCGAACCCATCCCGGGCACTTCTCCCACCCTCGAAATTAGGTGCAGGTGTTAATAAATTAGTCTAGCAACAAAGGAAATTCATTTCAGTTTGTTGGAAAATGTCCGAAATGCAAAGTGCTGTCGTTAGAAGATCGTATTAAAGTTATCACAACAGCAATTAGCGGCGAAGTTTAACTGTGGGAAAACAAAATTTATTTTACCCTAGACCTACAGTATTTTCCTTGGGGGTGTAAAATATTGTACACGATACAATTAATCGGCTGATCTCATCGTTTGATAAAATCTATTTTTATTTATTTATTTTGAAGCTCATATACAGTACACGTGCGATAAATAGTTTCTGTATCAACCTACCTTATTTCCACGATATTTTTAGAAAAATAATATCCAAGTAATTTTCGCAGGCAAAATATTCAAAAAACAATAAACGCATTAATGCAAAAATCAGTTTTACTTCCTTTTTCGATTCCGCGATTGTAATGAAATCGTATAATGAGAAAAAATAATAAAATCGTTTTATTATTAATTAATAATTTTTCTTATTGTACTTAATTAATTAAGAAAATATTAAATATTAAAAAAATACAGTATTTTTAAAGTTAAAATAAGATTAAACTAACGAAAACCAAAAGCAAAGTGATGGAGAGATAGGACGCGCTTGTATATTGATGACGTAATACACGTAACTGAGGAGCGAACGAAAAGAACCGAGTCGAATTAATTAAGTCGGAAAAAAGAAAGTGTGCATTATAATCGAGAAAATGCGAGTATTGTATTAATCTTTAAAATATTGGTATTAAATCTGTCTTATAAAATCACGACGACTCCTGTAAATCGGGTTATCCGATAAGAATAAAATACAGTACCAATATAGCCCTATCGTTGAAAAAATTCCCTTATTTTTGCTCACCTCGAATTTTGCTTAGTAGAAATGGCTGAAAATTGCGCAAAATACGTACGGAAATACGTTATTACAGGACCACCTGTATTGGACGACCACCTGTCTAAAAGACCACTTTTTGAGGGAACCGTGGGTGGTCACTATAGACAGGTTTTACTGTACTTAATAGCATATAAAAGTACAATGTAATATTAGAATATTGTGTATCATTTTTTTAATGTAACTAAGTACTGTAAATTAAAAGGTTTAATAATACAGGTTATGACAACTTGCTAAGGGCGTGACATAAATCATTAAAAATTTTAATTTTTTATATTTTATGTACAGTACATATTTTTTACCTATCCTATTCCTACATTTGCCTATCCTTGCATTAAGTGGTTTTTAATAGTGTTATAGTAGTGAGATTCTGCTTATACTGTATTTATACTAAATTATGATAATAGGATTATTAGGATAGGATTAGTTTATGAAAGCAAGGCTATCTTGTAATATGTAAAAGTTAAAAGTTTGACTCCATTCTAATTATGGAAAAAATTCTTCCTCAATTGCTAGATTTCCACTGACATAAATTCTGTGATAATTTTAGTTTTCAAAATATCATTTTTTATATTTGTTAACATTGTCTAAAAATGTTCTAGTACTTATACCTTGATACATGCTGGGAAGGGTTACTGATATAAAAACGTGGCTAAAGATTGCTGTCTTGATGTGTATCCACTGAAGAGGCCTATTGAAGAGGCGAAATGCATTTGGAGTTTGTTAATTATACAATAAAGTCACTGGTAATATTAAAATCTAATTTATTTCTCGTCACTTGTTTGCCTTTGTTGACCTGTAAAATCCTCGAAGTCGGAAGTAGATAGAGTGTATTATTTATGTATTGATATTTATGTAATGTATTTAATTATAAATGAAATTTGGAATGTGTCAATTATATAATAAAGTCACTGGTAATGATAAAAGTTTAACTTATTTCTTNCTAATTATGGAAAAAATTCTTCCTCAATTGCTAGATTTCCACTGACATAAATTCTGTGATAATTTTAGTTTTCAAAATATCATTTTTTATATTTGTTAACATTGTCTAAAAATGTTCTAGTACTTATACCTATATAAGACATTTCTTTTATCTCTGAATTTATGAAATGGATTTTGTATACCCACTCTGTCTGATGTTGATAATGTATGTGTCATTAGTAAATGTTCTACATAGTAAAGAAAATGAATTAATTACAAAATTTAAATCTAGTTTTTGAACATATCTTGTTATTTTAATTGAGCTATATGTTTTAAAGGTATTGGAGGAAAAAGCTATTTTTTTATTTTTTATACAAGACTAAGATATTACATATTCAAGTTGATTATGGGCATTAATTCTTATTACTGTTAATCTATGTAAATTATACTAATTAATTATATATAATAAATTCTTATTATTACATGGGATGTAAAATTTTGTATAGAAAATAATATGAATTTTAAAAATAAAATTAATAATTGTAATTATTTCATTTAAACTTTAGGTGGTTACGATGGCACATATTTTATGGAGACTGTTGAAGTTTATGATCCAAAGACAGATAAATGGAGTAAAGCACCTTCTATGTCATGTGGTCGTAGTGGACAAGCATCAGGTGTTTGGAAAGCTCCATGTTTGGCTCATGGCATAGTTTAATTTATATTGATGATCATACGGGACCATAAGATATATACTGTATATTAAAACTCCATCAAGATGAAAAGTACAAATGGTAGTATGTAATGTATGAATGCTTCCATTTTAAAATTCAGAACAAATGACAATTTTTTTTATTTAAAATGAATATACCAGAATTATCCAACATGGAAAATTAGAATGCTTTTGCTTTATTTAATAATGGAAAAACAAAAACTTATCACAAAGGAAAAAAACAGAGCACAATTGTGATGATGTAATATATTGTTAATATATGAATTAAAATTCATTCAGATTAACTTACAAAGTTACAGTATATCAGGAACAGTTTTTAAAGAATTCATTTTGAAGCATGAAATAATTTAAATTTCTTTTATGTTTTATACATAGATATAAAACATAATTAGATCATTAATNAATACAGTGAAAACTGCTTAGGCGACCACCTGCATTGGACGGGCACCTGTCAAAACGGGCAAAAATTTCTGGCACGGAATAGTTTATCCATAGAGTCTTCGTATAAGCTACCTGTATTAAACGACCACCTGTGTAATGCGACCGCGGGCATCAATTTTTGATCCGAAACAACATACAACACCTGTAATAAGTGACCACTTTTGCGAATGTATCTGGTCTAAACTATTGTAAGGACCCATCTCAAAAACGTTTCTCCCTCCTAATATGATGAATTAGTCTAAACTCTTGTTCGAACCCATCCCGGGCACTTTTCTCGTCCTTGAAATTAGGTGCAGGTGTTAATAAATTAGTCTAGCAACAAAGGAAATTCATTTTCCAGTTTGTTGGAAAATGTCCGAAAAACGAAAGAAATGCAAAGTGCTGTCGTTAGAAGATCATGTTGAAGTTATCACAACAGCAATTAGNTTTTTTTTTTTTATGTCTAATTACATAGATATAAGTCTCCTTTAATATCACATTTAGTTTATTTGAATGTACTTAATACCCTAAATGTAAATGTGTACAATAATTTCAATATAATTTTGGTATTTTAAAGAGTGTAATGGCAGGTGTATTGTCTGTCTATATTTTATATAATAAAGGTTTGCATTTCATTGCATAAATTGATTTCTTTATATATATAAGAAAGTTTTATCTCACGATCTTTATACCTATGCTTTACTTTTACTAAGTGATGTCTCACACGAAGGTAATTAAATTAAATTGATCTGCATTTGTATAGCATATATAAAATTTTTCATTTCTTTAAATACTTAAATCATGTAAAAGTAATTGAAGTAAATCTTTGGATTAAATAAGCTTTCTTCTCTTTAATAAGAGAAGTTTTAAACAATTTTTTAAGAAATTAAAACATCAAAAATATTAAAACTAAACTCATCACCAGTCTTTATAAAAAAAAAAAAAAACTTTATCATCAGTTTCAAGGCACAATCTCATCTTTACATCTTTGAAAACATTAATCAAGTTTTTTGCATAAGATTTCTTTAAATAAAGAGTTTAGTTTTAATACTTTTGATATTAACATAGTGCAAAAGAAGAAATGTCAAATTAAAACAAAAATAATTACAGTTGTCCCTCTATAGTCCAACGTTTTTTAATCCGACATGCTCAGTAGTCCGACGCACCTCCCGTCAAGGTACCTGTCCCTGTTACATGTCTGCTTGCACAGAAGCATGTCGCAATGTGAATCTCCCCATCCAATTTTTACACGATGACACACATTTCGTGTGTTTTATGTGAGCAGTTCTGTTCGAACAGTTGGAGTAGAGAATATTGTAAGTTACTGCTAGCAAAACAATGCGAAATATGTAATTATTTTCGGTAATCCGGANTGTGACGCTTGGTCGGGCATGAAACAGAAAAGATAAGTAACGTTTTGCGGTTATGTTCGTTTAGACGGTTCAATACGTATTTTTATCTATTTTTTCTTTTTTTTTCTGGATGAATTAGTCTTTCTCTTTCGTTTAAAATATATAAGTATACTTTTAATTATAAAAGAAAAACTTTCATTAAATATCACTCTGTATACTGGAACAATGCGTGTGCGCGCGGGGTTTTTTTTTAATCTCGATTGAAAACACGTTTTCGCGATTAAACGGTGGAATTGGGTTATGAAAATGGGTGAACAATTATCGGAATATCAAGAATATACGAAAATCTATTCGATTTTTTTTTTTTAACGGATTGTCATAGTTGAAATGAATCCCTTATCTATATTATTGAATTGTGTTGTTGTGCATCTTTTGCGGTTGTTTTGCGGCATTGTTTGCGTCACGTGCATTTCTAGATCCCATTTGTCATATCTCTAAATAGGCAATGATCTTTCTAAGCATAAAACTTTATAATCTTTTTATTTTTTTTTCTATTAAAATTGTGTATTGTTTGTAGTTTTTTTTTCTTTTTCCTTCTAGATTTGTTTGTGTATTATTATGTCACGCTATACGTATTCGTTATTGTCTTTGTTCGCTTGAATAAGATTGTGTTAAATTAGCTTTTTTTTTTCTATTATAGTATACGTGCCATTTTCATTTGTTTCGTTTTCTTTTACGATCTTTTAGAGCTAAATATGTCCATAATAGCAACATTAAAGGTTTTTTTTGTAAACATTATTTACAGCTATAAAACAAGAGCTTAACTAAGTGGATTGGGCTTAATCAGAACTTAAATATATACTGTATATTCAATTAAATCTGGGTATAACGCCACCCTTATAAAGCGCTAATAAATACTGTATTTGTAAACCAATCTTCTGCATGAATATTAGAGAACTTTCAGCATTAAGTATACGATTTTACATTGAAAATACTAAACACTGTATAAGCGTCATTACTATATATGACATATATAATTCTTAATGTTTCAGATATTTCACAATTTAGCACCCCACACGATTTAATTCCAGTTTCAGAGGTAACAAATGGTGTTAAATCGGTTTGACTGTTACACTTATCGAGTATTATTCACACGCATTGCTCAACTTTTCTATACAAACAACTCTAAAGTATTAAATTCCGTTCTTAAGATGTATATATTTCGGAATTATTTAAGTAGTTTATCCCAAAATTTATTACGAAAAACACTATAAGATTTCCATATCAAATCACCGAAATGTATTTCTTCAGTCTAATGTCAGGTTTACTTATATAAGTCGTACCTGTACCACACTTTGGCCGGTAATACAGGTAATACAACTTATTTACTGGTCGTTGTACTTTAGATAGCCAACTAGTTTGTACTAGAAAAAAAATTAGCAATATATATTTATGTATATATATAAACATATATAAAAATATCCGAACGTTATGATATGTATCCTTATTAGAAGATTTTACCTACAAATCTTAAACAATTTAGTAATGAAATATGAGAAAATATAGTATAGGTTAGTTTCATAGAAGGAGAATAAATGCGTAAGGATAAGTACAGTCGACCCCCTATAACACTGTTGATTATTCAGCTTTATATGAATTCCATGTTGTACGAGTCACTTAGATTTTACAAATACATGTGCTGGGCTGTGAACGGCTCATGTATTTGTAAAATCTAAGTGACTCGTACAACATGAAATTCATATAAAACGGAATAATCAACAGTGTTATAGGGGGGTCGACTGTAAACGATTTTATTTCTAAAAGGAAATGGAAAATGTTAACGTTTTCTTTGCCTTATGTTAAATATATTAACGTTATTATCTGTGGTTTTCGTTTATCCGGGCGCATCCCTCGCCATCATTTCTACGGTTAATGGAGTTTCTGCTATCGTTATCAGATTTGAAATATATTTTTTCTTAAGGAAAGTAATAAATATTAAAAATTTAACTTTATGAACAAAAAGCATAGTAGCTTGTTTTTTTTAATAAATGTGAAGATCAATTTTAATGGATTTTTTTATAATACAATTTGATTATCTGGCCGCGTATCCAATTTACTACTCACTTGTGTTCGCATTTTATATTCGTAGGAAATACTGGAAGCCAGAAACGTTCGTTCGCGATTGATTTCCATTCGTAATCATTAATTTTACCACACCATTTTTGTGTGGTAGTGTAGAGGTACTAGCANCATCTAATTTTATATTCCATGTTTTTTAATTAAATCTTTTCTTTAAATTTAAATTCCTGACATTTATTTCCTAATACAAGCAAATATAAAAATAAAAGCCTTTGTCTAAATCTGTTCTAAGACAAAACAAAGAGAATATGAAATTCGAATTCTTTGTAATTTTGAATTTACAGCAAATTTTATTCAAATTTTTCTAACAGAATGAAGCAATTAACTTTCTGGTATTTTTAAGTCTAGAAATTTTAAAAAGAAAACAAATTGCATGACAATCTTATCAATCAATATTTTCCATCAAAGTAGTAATGTTCACTTAACTAATATTATTATCTGTTTGAAATGGATGGAGATGGAATTTTGTGTCTAATTTCGTTTTTGCTTTTAAATTATACTTGCAAAGTTAAAAAAAAAAAACATTATATGTATATATATATAAAGTTTGAAATGTCATGATAAACTTAATATAATTTTCAGAAAGACAAATTTATATAAAAGATTTTTAGTTTATTTTTGAAAAATTTTTAAAGTAAATTTGATTTTTTTAAATTATTACTAATTTATTTTTATTAAATGTTTTTAATATGCAATAATTAGAAAATATTAAGAATTAAATTGTAATTTTAATTATCACTTCAACTTGATAAGTTCATTTTATTTAAAAAAAAAGTCAATGTTAAAATTCACTTTTTAGACATTTAAATAAATAATATCACTTTGAAAGTCTGGGATAATTTAGATTCAAACAATAAATTTAACAGGATGAATCAAATTTTTAAAATTAAAACAGATATATATTGATTTTTTTAAATTAAAATTAGTAAGTCATAATTATAAATTATGTAAAAAGAGATTCACAAAAAGAAGTAAAAGTGTATTTAAATTATTAAATTATTAGTTGAGAATTTTTGTGTTATAGTTTTATATCATTATTCTGTTCTGGAAAAAATTCTTTTCATTCATTAACCATTGATTTCATCTAATATTATTCTTGATGCATTTGTAATCAATCAGAAAATATTCTAAAGCATATATTTTTTAGATACAACACCGAGATTATATTCTTGCTATATATTTCAATTTTTAACTTAAGATAAACATTTCTGTTTTTGGATATCAGTTGCAGCATCTTAAATCACTATCCCAGCTTTCATACTCATACTATAGCATCCTATAAACATCAAAAGATTGCTGAGAGGTAGAAGCATGTCAAGAATGCAATTCTTTCACTATTATTCTCCAACAATCTTATTATAGACAGTTATAAATTGGCAAATAATATACATTGTTGACAAGTGAAAATTGTCAACTAGTTTCTAATCATGTCTAATTTCTCTATTTCTTTTTGATAAGTGACAGATG